CTACAGAAGATTTCACAAATATATTATTTAAAATATAAATAGGCAGTCTTAATGATAGTTGGGCTATTAGCCATAGACTGTTAAACTATAGGAATGATAGACCATGAGTAAGTGTGGATCATGATGTTTTCAAAGATATGAGGTTGTTTCTGAAAAGCTGACAATTAGTTCCACACCTTTTTCTCAGGTAGTAAAATAACTTATAAGTCTTTAACAAAATAACAGAGTTAATTTTTTTACAACAATCAATTATTTGATTGTGGCGTATTCCCAGAATGTTATTTCAAGGAACAGGCTGGGTAGTAGACCAATGCTTTTTTCCAAACCAAAATGATTTCCTTAGCCTTTTTAATAAGATGACTACAGCTGCAATTCATTAACAAATGCCTCAATCAGCAATTTTAAAGCACTTCATAGACTAAAAATGTATCAACATATTCACCAGAGACTGGTCAAATATTCAGGTTTTACAGATGAATAAAAAGGAGCTGGAGGCTGAGAGAATTTTTCACAGCCAAACAGTAGGTCAGTTATAAGCCAGGACCAGAGATCAGGACTTCCTTTGCTCCAAAACCCATAGCTATTTTATTCCTCAATATGCCCATTACATTCTTTTTCCAAGTCTACTATGAATTATTTTTCATAACATTTGGCTACAATAAACAAAAAGTTTAAGTTTACTATATCTGAAGTTTATATATCTATAGTCTTTATATATATAGAAAAATATATAATTTTGCAAATGTCTTCTGTAAATGGAAACATATTAAAACAAAATCTCGCTCTTATAGGTATCTCTGGAAGGGAAAAAAAAAGTTTTACTTCTTGTCTGCCTTCTCCAATAAGAGGCTGATCTCACGGCTGTAGAAAAGTTACAGGTGTCCCCTAACAATCTCCCACTTGCTCTCAAAGTCCTAGTAAGGACAGAACTGGGGTGCAAGTCAGAAGCACAGATCTAAAGGCCCAGCCAAAAGCCTGCAGGCCTAAGGTTTTCTTTACTCACACAGAAGGAAGTCATACACTAAGCCCTGCAATGGAAAGAGTAATCCCAAAAAACATGTTCCTCCACTGGACCAGAACCCTCACTACCCATACTGTAGCAGGAGGGGGAAAACAAAATCAAAAAGGATGGGAGAACAAGGAAAGTGGTGGGTTTTAGCAAAAGAACAAAATTAGGAACAAAAAAGGACAAAAGAAAGGACAGCAAATAAGCCAGGCAGCTTACCCTTGGGCAACAGGGTGCTGCTGACAAGGTCCTCTCACTTGTGCAAAGCAAACCATTTCCAAAGAATCCCGCAACAAAGTGCAAATGGCGTGATCTTGCCTCACTCCCTTTCCAGGAACACCAGGTGGTTTTTGGGCACAGAACATCTCAGACGAATCATGGTTCCTTTTTGTCCTGCAAGTGCCCTTAGGGAAGAAATAGCACTTCTCCCATCTTCTGAATCTTTGTTTACCCTCTGGAAACCATACATGAACTATTTCACACAGATACATACAGATGAGCTGCTTTGAATTAAACTTCTTTGTTTTCAGGAATTTCTAACAGCATTTTACTGGAATCTTGTCCTCTACAGAGAATTCAAGATTACACCTAATGTTTGATTCCTCCCTCAAGTAACTCCATTCAGGAGTATGTTTGCCACAGCACCAGTGTGCAGAGCCATTTAAGTCCCTTATCTCTGTTATGACCAGCCTGTTTCGTATTACAGAAACGTCCCTAAGTGTTTACCATTTTCTAGAGAATTTTTGTAGTCTATCTTCAACAGAAGCAGTCACATGTACTTAAAAAGTGCGATAGTGTCCAAATAAGCAGGTACCCTGATATACTGTAAGACTTGCTCCACCTAACTTGACTTTGTCAATCTAAAATAAAGAATGCTAAAAAGCCAGCAGTACTTGTAACCAGTTTGCAACCACATCCCCACCTTCTCAAAAGCTTTAGACTCCACTTCAAATGCTTTATGAACAGTAGCAACTTAAAAACCTTTTTCTTACCTCAACAGTCCAGTTCCCTGGCTGCACTAAGAGCCATGAGCTGCATCAACAGGCATTGTTAAAACAGACTGAGGAGAACGCTACTAATTTCAGACCATCACTAATGGAATTAGTTACTGAATTTCAAATATTTACTTTCTAAAACCACTGATAGACTGTTCAGAAGATGTAATAGAGCCTCACCTGGTCAGCCAAATCTTTAGTCTGCCTAAAACAGCCCAGCCTGGGGAGAACCCAAGTTTTAATTCCAGAAATCTGTTAGAGGTTGTTTCACTGGCAGTTAATAACCCTGACACTGAAGCTAGTAAGCCAAAGTGGTTCAGTGCACATAAAGTAAAAAGAATAGTTCTATCAACATTTAAATATTATCCATAAGAAATATATGATTACATCAATAGATTTAATAATATCTGTGATGAACATACACAAATCTTCAAGCATACCACTCTGTAGAAATAAAAAAAAATTAGTTTCTGCAACCTTTATCAGATATGGCAATTTTTATTTAATGAAGAATGCACCGGGACCCTCAGAACTGGCACCCATTCTGACGACAACACTCGCCAAGATTCATACTGCGGGCCTGTGGACAAGTTGAGGACAAAGTATTTCCTTGACTCCTAGCATAGCATCCTCTCTGTTAGACCAGGCTGAATACACATCAATTGTTATTGCTAGCCAACAAAAACATTTCTAATGGTTTGTATTTGGCAGCTAGAAATTAGCGCACTGTCATGAATAGAGCTGCGAGTTATCCATTAAAACAAAAAAACCGCATCCTACAGCATTGCACATTTACACTGTGTGTGTGGTGAATGAGAAGCTGAACACGAGCAGACAATGTGCACTTGCAGCCCAGAAGGCAAATAACCGTATCCTGGGCTGCATCAAGAGAAGCGTGACCAGCAGGTCGAGGGAGGGGATTCTGCCCCTCTACTCCGCTCTTGTAAGGCCCCACCTGGAGTACTGTGTCCAGTTCTGGAGCCCCCAACACAAGAGAGACCTGGAGTAGCTAGAACAAGTCCAGAGGAGGCCACGAGGATGATGCGACGGCTGGAGCACCTCTCCTATGAGGACAGGCTGAGAGAGTTGGGGCTGTTCAGCCTGGAGAAGAGAAGGCTCCGGGGAGATCTTACAGCAGCCTTCCAATACCTGAAGGGACCTACAAGAAAGCTGGGGAGGGACTTTTTACAAGGGCAGTTAATGACAGAACAAGGGGAAATGGGTTTAAGCTGAAAGAGGGCAGGTTTAGATTAGATATTAGGAAGAAGTTCTTCACTGTGAGGGTGGTCAGACACTGGAACAGGTTGCCCAGAGAAGCTGTGGCAGCCCCCTCCCTGGAAGTGTTTAAGGCCAGGTTGGATGAGGCTTTGAGCAACCTGGTCTAGTGGGGGGTGTCCCTGCTGATGGCAGGGGGGTTGGAACTAGATGATCTTTAAGGTCCCTTCCAACCCAAACCATTCTATGATTCTATGACAACCTTAAGTTTATCCCAGAAACTCCTTAAACTCCCTACTATTTTCCCTCTCCCACATTCTTCCTCCACTTGCCTGCATCCTCCTCACCAATGGCTTTCCCTTCCAGTACCACACAGGTTACATTAGGAATTGCTACACTGCAAAGCAAAACCACCTTCAAGACGTAAGTTATATGCCTGAAAAATATGATAATTAAAATTAATATAGCAGCAACTGCCTGACCCAGCTTTTAAAAACCAAGCAGAGTAAGAAAATCAATTACTAAAATGGAAGGCAAAAGAGGGAATCAGCAAGTGGTGTGGCAAGTTTTTGTTTCCTGAAAGATCTCTGTATTACAGGACTGTATACATCCATCTATAACAGCCTTTGTTCCCAGTTTCACAGAACTTCCTTCTCAAGAGACCGAGACAGACCAACCCGTCTGTGCAACATAACCACTTCTATTGCCCAAGGAAAAAAATCACTATGCTTGCCCTTAATACTGACAAAATGGTACAAACACGTATCACTTAGAAGTTGTTAGAAAACACATAAAACGGAGCTAAAGAAAATTAAATTCTTAATTAATCTACTATTATCACCTTCATCACAGTATTTTTAACAGATGACTGGTCTGCATAAGCATGGATTATACTTAACCCTTGCTGCAGACAACACAGTGCACATCCTACAATCACAGTTGTTATCAAAAAGCAAGCAGCTGTCAAAGAATTGCAGCCCAGAAAATATGCTTCCATGGTGATGGATATGCACCATTAGAGCTAATTCATTAGATTACCTAAAGGATGTGTCTTTTTATGCACTATTTCTAAAGGTAAATTGCTCCTGTCTCCCCCTGCTACTTTAAAAGTTATTCTAATCAAAGATTTTATTTTGGTTGCCATGGTACAAGCTGACTTATAAATATGATGGTGATTAACATAAATGGATATATATTCCATTTTCAATATTCAAGCAATAGGCCCTCTCAGCTGGAAGACTGTATACATTAATTAAGGAGGTGCAGGATGAACCACTGAAATATTAATCCATTATATAAAATCTGAAACTTTAATAAAGCCTAAACATAGAGCTTTCACAGATTAAACAAATAGAAGAGGAAACTTCTTTTTTTTGCATACTTACAATGTGTAAGAGCTTTAGCACATCCACAAACCTATCAGAAAAGCAAGAAAAAGCAGTTACATTTTAATTGCCCAATTAAAATAAACTGAGTAGCTGTTAAGTTTAGATTGACACTTACACTTTCTCTGAGCTCATGATCTCCTTGGCAATATGGTAAACCTTTGTTTTCTTTCCAGCTGCCTTACTCTGCAAATAAAATTACATGTTATACTATGCACCTACTAAAAATGTTGTAAAGATAATTTCCAGATAGTAGTTCCTCAAATCCAATGTAATTATTCAACAGTTATTTCTAACAAAAACATTTTATACTGCTCTGAAATCTCTTGGCTTTGAAATCTTCTGGCTTTTCAGAATCTGTGAGAAAATCAATTTAGTTTGTAGCTGGAAACAACAATATTAGTTAAGAGTAGTTTTTATAACACTATCAGCCTTTCTATTTAATTACTGCAGGAAGCACTGAAGCCCATAATGAATGAAGCCTTAGAAAGTGACAGTTATTGTTTAGCAAAAGTAGTACAGATAATATTTCTATATTACTTGATTTTTTTTTCTGAGTAATACAGCAACAGTAATATTCGCAGCAAACTCAAATAGGTTTTAGGAACATCTTAAAAGAAATACACATTTCCTTTACTGAAAAAGAAGATGAAAGGAGAAAAATATCACATTGAAGAGAAAAGCCAGCTTCTGACCACCTACTAAAGGAGCTGCTGAAAAACATAGCACCTCTGCTGCAAAACTGTAGAAGTCTGAGCTTTGTCATCTACCAGAAACACTTTGGAGATGATGATGTTTTTTATGTGCATACATTTGGCTTCTAAAAAAATCAATGGTACTGTTCAACATTGGATATAAGGAACATGTATAGCTAAGCAAAAGTGGATAGGTGTCAGGATGCAAATGTTTTCTATACTCCTATCTATAATTTCCCTCAGATAAAACACCTTTCTCCATATCAGCTCTCACGGTTTGCCATATGCTCCTCTTCTGCCAGCTGTCACTACATCTATTAGATATTCA